TTTTATCACACGTTTTGCCTCAGGTGACTAACTATCGTCAAGGTGATCCACTGAGACTCAATTGGTGAAGGATTTAGCCTTTAATAGTTAACTTCTTCATTAGGAGGGGGAGGGAGAAAGGGGGTCTGTCTGTCTGTCTGTCTGTCTGTCAGGAAATCAACCCCCCTTTCTGCCCCGGACGTACAGAAAGCCCCAGAACTTGTTGGTGTGTAGCCTCTCACGGTTATAATAATAATAATACCTTCACGCCATCTTATTCCTGTTATATTTATGAGACGATTTTCTTCCTTGTTGTCATGTGTGCCGATCATAATCCATCACCTGGGCCCTTACCTGGTCCGGGGGGGGGCGGTTAATTGCCTCTAGGTAGGGAGACAAGTTGGTCCTAACAGAGCTAGCTAAGGTCGCAAAACTAAAACTAAACCATCACACTGGTTTATTCTTTGTCAGAGGTGTTGGTGTAACACGCTCTAAGATTCACAGAAAAAAGGATAAACTTGTTTTTTGTAATGGTAAGTAAAGAATTTTCCTGAAGTGGTTGTAGTGGCTGGTGCTGGAGGCAGTTCCTGGACTGAGGTCCTGAACGAAGGGTGTGTGATGTAAGGTTAGGTTAAGTTAGGTTAGGTTAGGTGAGATATATTTACGTAAACGAGACCTAAAGAGAGGAGCGACTAATGATTGTTTACGAGTCACGGAAAAGTAGATAAGGTTTAGTCTTTTCTCTGAGTGTGGGTGAAGCAGGGTTGGTTTCCGTGAAGCGCTGGTTGAATTACCGCACTCAGGGGATTAACTTATCGTATTCAAGGGATTACGTTATCGTGTGAAAAGCTATATCAATATTATAATTATTATCATGTCTTGGTTAGGAAGTTGAGTGTGTGTGTGTGTGTGTATGTGTGTGTTGGGCTCCCATGGAAAACCCGAAGGTCTTACATGCTAGTGTTGCTCATCTGAGGCAATCAACACCTCCCCTCATGCCACCACAATCATCTCACTCTCTACCACAAACACCACACAGTTTACTACAAACACCACACAGTCTACCACAAACACCACACAATCTACCTGCTGCCTCACAGTCTACCACAAACACCACCCAATCTACCTGCTGCCTCACAGTCTACCACAAACACCACAGTCTATTTCCTGCCTCGCACACAGACCGCTCACCTCGCTCTCACACTCACATTACCACAACATGAGGAGAAAATATAAAGCTTTTATTGTCACTTGACCCCATTTGTGACGTTCAAGAGACGTGAATAACTTTTAGGTACACAAAGAACAAGTTTCAACACAAGGAATAAGATAAAATAGTTTTGGATTCAATGGTAGAAACTAACATTGAAAGTATATGGAGAAATAACATTTACCCAATGAAGAGATTTGATGGAGAATTATGTTGATACGTTTCTCTAAATGTCCCCTTATGAGATATTTAGAGATGTCTTAAGTAACTCTCAAATGTTTTTTCTAGGTTTCTCTCTTAACTTAACCTAACCTAACCTAACATATAACCAAATCGGTGGTTTGAAGGAGAGAAAAAATATGTTATTCCCTCAATTAGTTGGTGAAGGATTCTTTCTCAACAGGTGAGTGGATCTCTTGAAGGTGTGCGGGTTCTGTCTGGGAAGATCCCCCCCCCTCCCCCTCACACACACACACACACACACACACACACACACGCACACACAGTCTTACACATATCGGCCCGTGTTACTAAGGCGTTTGATTTTCTTCCCTTGGATGTTTTTGACGACTCCAGGCCATCGCTAAAGGTACAAGGTATCGCTAAAGGTACAAGGTATCGCTAAAGGTACAAGGTATCGCTGAAGGTACATGGTATCTCTGGAGGTACAAGGTATCACTGAAGACTCCTGATATCGCTAGAGGCTCAGAGAAAAAAAAGTGTGAAAATCGATCACCAAAATATTCAATCCAGCGAAAGATTTTAAGAATGGCAGATTTTTGTTAGTTTTGCAAAATGTTCTTTATATTTTGCTATTTTATGCGAATTTTTGTTTATACTTTGTTATTTTCAGAGAATTTTCTATATCAGGTTAAATCTGAGAGGAGGTAAACACGATTAAAATGAAACTCGAGTTAAAATATCCTCTTATGAAATTCACTTCTCAAACATATTTACAGGTTATTTTAAAAAGATCACGAACAAGAGTTACATAATTCAGCCAAAAGTTTCGTTTTTATATCCTGACAAATAAACAATAGTAAACTTATAGAGATATTTTACTTTCTGAAACTTTGAAACGTATAATTAAGAGTATAATAGATGCGTTTGGCTATGTTACTTAACCCAATTTCCGCCTTTATTGACTTCACTTAGTTATTTTTTTCTGAGTGAGGGAGTGTTTTTAAGAATGTCACGCAGCCAATGAGTGCTTCTTGTTGACTAGTGTTTCATTGGTTTACTTGTGAAGGCTGTAAACTTTACCATGATCACACGAGTTTACTGTAAGGAAACTGTTCTCAAGGCAAGTTTACCTAGGTTGGGTAAGTGTTAGTTGATGTTAAATAAGTCAATCATATGGAAATAAAGAATTTGTGTTGAATTCAAAGTTAAAGCTATCAGTTGAAGTCAAAAATAATTCTAAGGAGACAATATTGATATAATTTTGGAACCATTCACAATACCTAAGATATTATTATTATTATTATTATTATCATTATTATTAAACTACGACACATTACTGGAACGCGTCTTTGACCTCCAGGATGGTGTACTGCGCAGTTGTGACGTCAATGAAAACTAAGAATATTTGTATAATGTTTTGAGATATATTTATTGACTATTCGTTTTAATAATTAGATTCCAAAGAATAACCAGTATCGTAGAAACTAAGAATGGCGACGAGAATAAGGCCTCAGGGAGGAGTGTCGGGATTCTCAACGGTTTGTTTCTTTTACCGTAACTGGTGTAGATAATTGAGTTAGATTAGAGAAAGACACATTTCATTCGTTGGCGGTTTTCAGAAAAAATGTGACGTAACGAATGTTTGAGAATCCAAGGGAGGAGGAACCAGTGTCAGGCAGCAATTCAGCTTCCTGGAACTCATTAATTTATAATTTATATTCCGGCTGGACCAAGGCTTGGCTTATGTATTCACAAACAATCGTAAAATAATTATTCCAAGTATATAATTATATCTATTCGTTATATCTTATAGGTTTTGTGTTATTATTACCCTCAATATTGAACCTTTGACGAGATATATCCACATTAAACGAAATAAAATATAAACATCTATGACGTCAATATAGATAAAAAAAACTCAATATAATAAAAGTAAATGAATCATGATACTGCTCTAAACTATCTAAGAACCACGATTTCCATTAATATGCCACCACACCCGGAGAACAAGGTGACAATTGGGGACATTCAAAGTAAGTCATCATGTCGTCGCCGCCACACTGCAGGAAAGAGCCAGACTATCATGTTCCGGGGCGAGGTTAATGTTTCTCAATAGCTGTACCTGTCTCTCGTTCATTACCACCACCAGCTGCACCATAACCACCACTTGCACCTGCACTTGTAAGATCACCACCACCACCAGCTGCACCATAACCACCACTTGCACCTGCACTTGTAAGATCACCACCACCACCACCAGCTGCACCATAACCACTTACCTACGACGACCACCACCACCACCTTGCGTACTTGCACCTGCACTGCACTACCAGATCACCACCACCACCACCACCAGCTGCACCACTACCACCCGCACCTGCACTTGTGACCACCACACACCTGCCACACCACCAGCTGCACCACTACCTTGCCTGACTGCGACACCACCACACCACACAGCACCACCACCAGCTGCACCACTACCACACATTACCACCTGCCTTGTACGACTACCACCACACCACCACCACCACCACTACCACACCACTACCTGCGCTACCACACCATACCACCAGCTGCCCGACTACCACACACCATCACCACCACCAGCTGCACCACTACCACCACTGCCTGCGCCAGCTGCACCCACACACACCACCACCACCACCAGCTGCACTACCACCACTTGCACCTGCTACTGCCATCACATCACCGCCACCTGTACCACCATCACCACCATCCCCACCAGCTGCCACTACCACCACTTGCACCTGCACTTGTACGACCACAACCACACAACACCACCACCACCACTTGCACCTGCACTTGTACGACCACCACCACACACCACCACCACCAGCTGCACCACTACCACCACTTGCACCTGCACTACTGCCATCACCATCACCGCCACCTGTACCACCATCACCACCACCACCGCCACCTGTACCACCATCACCACCACCACCACCACCACCTGCACTACTACCATCACCACCACCACCACCACCACCTGTTCCACCATCACAACAAACATATTCTTGGTCTGCTGGGTCATTCTTACAGGCTCTAGATTTATGGGAGTTTATTAGGCATGGTGGAATGCCTCTGTCGGCTAGTTTGTTTACATTTTACTGTTAAAGGATCAGAGGTTAAAAGGTCTTTTTAAATGTATTGTGTGGCATATGACGTGAGTTTTGTTGATGACATATAGGAAGCGTTCACCGAGAGGCGTTTAGTGTTCTGTAACAAGGGGTAAGTATTCTTCACTGCTATTGGTCAGGGAGGGAGCCAGTAACAGGTTCAACTTCTTGCTAAAATATTAATGTTGCTTTGTGTACACGCCAGCCAGGAGGGATGGGTCGGGTGGTGGCTACGGGGCTGAGGCATCTGGTAATTCCCTGCCCTGGCATTGAAAATTTTCCCAGAATGTTGCTCCTTTGTGGGTTTACAAAAATTAACTACTCCAGTTACCTGACTATATATGCACACGTCTACAAGAGATTCTTCAATTAAATATTATCATATGCAGGGGTAAAGACTTAAATTTCGTTGCAATGTATAAACTTTACATCAAGATTTTATCGGTGGTTAATTTAAAAAATTACTTTTAACCTCAAGTTGATGGTCCAGTTTCCCGGTGCGCGACACCTGGTAACAGCTGGCAACCGAGAGAGGTAAAGTGAGATGACGAAGAGACGAGAGCGTCAGTGGTGTGCCGAACACCGCGCTGCCTGGAGTATTACTCAGTGTTTCTGTGAGTAGGTTTGTGTGTATGCAAGTCTGTGCTCAGTGGGGGTAAGTGTGTATGGTCGCACGCTTCTTGAACTTTTGTTACCATGTAATCTTTCAACTTGTGTACTGTACATTCAACGCCTCTCTCACCGTTGAGTTAATACAGTATCAGTTGTGTAACTAGTCAAGTGTATTCATTATCTGAGCATAATTCTGAACACCTGTGAAACCATCATCCTCAAGGGGTTAAACCATCATCCTGAAAGGGTTAAACCATCATCCTCAAGGGGTTAAACCATCATCCTGAAAGGGTTAAACCATCATCCTCAAGGGGTTAAACCATCATCCTGAAAGGGTTAAACCATCATCCTCAAGGGGTTAATTATGTGTTCTTAAGTGTTTTAGGAGCAACTTATAAGTTAAGGGTTATTAAGTGTCTTGGGTCACCCCAACCAATCACCTCGACTCATCTAGGTGGACGGCCCATCTGTTATTATTCCCTATTACTTTACTTCCTGTTTCCTTTCTTTCCTTCTCTCTTTCCTCTCCTCTCTCATGGCAAAGTCATTTGCCACTTTACTTCATCATCATCATCATCATCATCATCAAGTGTCTTGGGAACATTAGTAACTTGACAGTCGTTGTGACTTCAGAAAACAGGTGACTTCAGGAAACAAGTGTGACTTCAGGAAATAAGTTACTTCAGGAAACAGGTGTGACTTCAGAAAACAAGTGAATTCAGGAAACAAATTCAACTCCTGGAAAAGTGTGTGACTTCAGGACACAAGCGTGACTTTAGGAAATAAGTTACTTCAGGAAACGGTTGTGACTTCAGGAAACTTGCATCACACTTCATGGTGTTGACAGCCAGGTGTACCTGAAGTAAGGGACTGGAAACGCCCTTTCCTTACCGTACCGTACTCTGCCCTGCCCTTCCCTACCCTGTTGACACACCCTGAAGGTCACCATTGCTAAAAAGTCGAGCCTCTCCCCCCCCCCATCCTCGTGTTTACCTCCCATTATCACCCTCTACCATGTCTACGTTCATCTACCATTACCATGTTCTACCAGTATCACCTTCTTTAATGGGTGTTGTGAGAGATGGGGAGGGTTGTGAGAGGAGACATCACTGTTGCCAGATAGTGATCCAACCTCCCTCTGTAGCCACGCTTTCTCCACTCATTTTATGACCTAATTATCCTCATACAAAATTATCTTCTCTGACCTAGCTAGGTAAACCGCATGTCTAATGTGGGATTCCGTGATTGTTGCCTCATAGTCTATGTTTGTGACTGTTGTTGGTTTAGAGGCCGAAGTTATTGTTCCCCTGAGACACAGAAGAGCAGACTTGAGCAAGGAGAAGGATAGGTAACACGTCAACCAGGCCACGACGTAACTTCTGGGCTGCTGCTTCTGTTTAGGTAACACCTCAGCGAGTCTGGTGCCTTACACTTGGTCCCATCCCGCCCGATGTTGTCAACACCAGAGGAGTCAACCTGCCTTGGTCAATATTTTGGATTCTCCCCACTTACGCTCTGTTCTTTTTGTTCTCCTTTTTAACATGACACTGTGACATCATCCAGGCACAAAGGGTAAACTTTGCACTGATATTGACACACTCGCTGGGTGGCCGGGCGGGAGGGATGGAACTTTTCTCGTGAGTCGACCACAGACACAGATGATAGTTTTCGCCACGACATTCCTGTGCGGAGAATTAACTTAACTTATTCTATTTTTTCCCCACAGAAAGTCATAGCAGCGATGAGGTGGTGGTCATTTCTAATGGTGGTGGCCGCCTTCGTGGCCCTGGCGGCGCCCAAAGCTGAGGCAGCGATCGAGGAGCTGCCAGTAGCTCGCGTCATCAGACAGATTAACTTCCGCCCGTCTGGAGGTTTGTATCCAGGTATATATACAGTAAATATATATATATATATATATATATATATATATATATATATATATATATATATATATATATATATATATATATATATATATATATATATATATATATATACATACATAATTATAAGAGTTAACTACACGTCAAGGTGATCCATCATCTTGGGACGACCGCTGCTCTGAGGACGCACTTTGTTTTAGTTTTATCTCTTAATTTTGTAATTGTTGTTAGAATAGTAAATTACTAACGTCGTTTCGCCCTTAAAGACCTTTATTTTTAAAGTGCAGTAATAATATTATAAAAACAACAACAACAGTTTGTCGAGCAAGTTTGGCCGACACATCACACAGAGAACTGGTTGGTTGTCCGGCCAACAACAAGAGCTGGAAGTTTGTTCAAACTCTTCCACTCCGTGACCAGGGTGCACGGCTGCCTATTACGTTAACACCCAGTATCCTCTTTTAACCTTCTTCAAACTCCACTGTTGTCCTCAGTTTATTTTATCCCAAGGCGGGTTATGAGTACAACTGGTGGAGTCTCTCTAGATTGTCACATGTGATAAATGAATCCCTAGACAAAAAGTTGACACCCCCGACCCCACAATCAAGACAAGGACACTGTGACCTGCCTCCCTGAGTCTGTATCTGCGAGGAGGGAAAATCTTAAATCCAAATCTGGTCTGGGCTCTCGTAGTACACATCTATGTTAAAAAAAACTCCTCCTTACCCTTCTACCTTTAACCTTTAACGACATTCATGGGAGGGAGGGAGGTGGGGGGTTGGGGGGATAGTTAACCAGTGCGAGTGTTGCGCGTCATAACGTCCCACGATGAATATAAAAACTGGGTTGATCCCTCATAGAAACTTCCCGGGCCGTGGTGTGGGATTTCCTAGAAGAAGAAGTAGGAGGAGGACGGGGAGGAGGAGGAGGAGGAAGAAGATGAGGAGGAGGTGGGTACTGCAGGCGACTTGTTTTTCGGAAAGGTTTTTCTAAGTCACGCTATCACCGGATCAGTGTCTTGGGAAATTTTGATGTATCTCTTGTTATTGTTTATCCTTGTGTGTGTGTGGTGTGTGTGTGTGTGTGTGTGTGTGTGTGTGTGTGTGTGTGTGTGTGTGTGTGTGTGTGTGTGTGTGTGTGTGTGTGTGTACAGGTGCACTAACATAAAGGTGGACAGGCTTGTAACGTGTAATAGCCGCCTCAACCAATTACCTTCATATACCCTGTAGGGGCAGGCATACAGGTAGGGAGCAAATAGACAGGCAGGCAGGTATGGGACAAGCAAGCAAGCAGGCAGGCAGGGAGGCAGGCAGGTAAAAACTCGTCCTAAAGCCCTTGAGAAGTGCACGAGGTAATTGATTTTATGGTCAGTCGAGTTCCCTCTTTCTTTCTTTTTCTCTAATATATTTTATATTCTATCTTACTCTGCTGCTTTTTGATTTTAGAGAGAGAGAGAGAGAGAGACAGAGAGAGGGAGGACAATCCAGTAAGACCTAACCATATATTTCACAGTATCTTATTAAATAACACTGAGAACCCCATTATTTAGCATATGAAATAGGTCACCCGGCCATACATCACCAACACACACACACACACACGTGATGCCCCTCATAACGCCATCTGTGAGGGAGTTACTACACTGCGTGTCTGCTGTTCAACACCTCAGCTCACATGATCTACGTGTATAAACATTAATCTGTATGTTCACTGTATGTTCCTTCACCTTTCTCTAATGAAGGCTTTTGTTAAACCACCAATGTATGTAATAAGTCATTTATGTCCAATGTATATTTTCAGCCTTCGGGCTGCAAACTTTTTCAATAAACCGTTTATTATTATTATTATTATTATTACAGTGGAGGACATCGTTCAGGTGTGCCTTTGTGGCCGCCAAATGCTATCTATTACAAAGGGATGAAAGAGAGTATAGGTTTTTAAGATGGCTCAGGAAAGATGCCTGGTGTGTGTGTGTGTAGTATTCTGACCTCACTAGAGGAAAGGTCACGGCTGCTTAGCTCTGCTCCCGGGGATAATTATCAGATATGGCTAGTGCTACTGGTGAACGGGGTTACGCCCTTCTGTGGGCCGAGTTAGAGAGTACCAAGGAAAAACCCTGAAATTAGAGGAAGAAAACTTGAAATTAAAGGAAGAGAGCAAGGATGCAGGAAGAGACGAGACAAGGAAAGCCGGTGAATGACGATAACTCTGGGGAATGGAAGGTTGTGAGGAGAGGGACGACCAAGCTGGTGGTCAAGAAACACACCAAGGATACAACAACAACGACAACAACAGCTAAGTGTACCAACTCGTTCAGTCCCTTGATAGACGAATTGGACGTTAGTACAGTCAGGGACAGGGCTGACAAGGAAGGTATAAAAACTTTAATTGTTGGTGACTCACAGGTAAGGTACTTGGACAGCCTTTTGTGGTAAAAATAAAAATAGGATGAGGGTGTGTTTGCCAGGAGCTGGGGTGGGGGATATAGTTGACAGGATGGACAATATCTTGTCTGGTAATGGGAACAAACCCATTATCTGCCTCAGTGCAGGAGGCAATGATATTGGCCAGTGTAGGAGTGAAGAGCTTCTTGATAAGTTCAAGACAGTTATAGATCGTATTAGGACTAAGGGAGGGATCCCTATCATATGTGGTGTCCTGCCTAGAAGGAGAGTTAGCAATGAATGGTTGTCAAGGGCAGTTGGTGTCAACGACCGTCTTGGCGGATATTGCAAGTCAATATCAGTCCCATTCATTGACAACTGGGACAACTTCTACGGCAGAAGGGACCTTAAATGCTAGGGATGGGGTACATCTGTCTCGGGATGGGGTAGCAACCCTGGCTGGGTCTCTAGAGGGGGCAGTTCAAAAGATATCGAAGTCTTTAAACAGCTAGGGAAGTATATGGGCACGGGGGTGAAGGAGACTGCAGTGGGAGCGGGTAAACAAAGTGAAAGATTACAGGGAAATAGTGTTAGGAATGACGACAAAACTAAATTAGACAGGGAGTTTATAACTAAACGCGGTAAGGGGAGGACTCGGAACACGACTAACTTAAATGTATACTATGCGAACAGTAGAAGTATGAGAACAAAATAGATGATATTAGGGCCTTGGTATGTACCGAAAAAATCGATATAATAGCATTCACTGAAACATGGATCAACCTAGACTCACGTGAGTTACCTGTCGAATACCAAATTGCGGATTACAAGTTGTTCCATACCGATAGGCCGTCCAGGAAAGGAGGCGGAGTGGCCATCTATGTCAGGGATAATCTGAAGTGCGAAATAAATAAGGAAATAAAAACTGAGCGGAATACAGAAACAATTTGGATAGAATTAAACGACGGTCGGGAAAAATTAATCACAGGAGTAATATATAGATCTCCCAATCTTGATAGAGTCAATGAGCGACTTATCTGGGATGAAATGCGCAGGGCTTCCATACACAACAAAGTCTGTATAGTAGGCGACTTTAACCTTTGGCCAAATAGATTGGACTGACCTTACGGGTAACTCAGAATCAGAGGATTTTCTCGAGACGATCCAGGACTGTTTTCTAAGTCAACATATAACCGAACCCACCCGGGGTAATAATATACTCGATTTAGCTCTGTTGAACAGAGAAAACCTCATTAGCAATGTCGAGGTAGGGAACGAACTTGCAAACAGCGATCACAAAGAAATTAGATTCCAGTTAGATGTTTAGGTCAGACGTAAAGGGAATCCCATTAAAGTTCCAGATTTCAGAAGGGCAGACTTTGATAGTTTAAAGACGTACTCAAACTATCCAACCAGGAGCGAACTCGTAACAATGGTTTTAAATTAGACAAATTTAGATTTCGGCGTGAAATAGGTAAACACTGGTTTAGAAACAGAGTAGTGGATGAATGGAACAAGTTACCAAATATCATCATTAACTCGAATACGCTGGATAGCTTCAAACATAGGTTGGATGCTTATATGAGCAATAGGGGTTGGGTATAAACGGGACTGCCCAGTATGGGTCAATAGGCACGCTGCAGTTTCCCCCATTCTTATGTTCTTACGTAGTGTGGATGTGAGTAGCGTCAAGAGAGAAATGCCTTACTCTCGCCAGCAATTCTTTAACGTCAAGTATCCATGGACTTGTTTAGTTACATTATCCACATACTTCAATAAAAACTTGTTCCAAAAGGTCTAATTAACTCAAGGTTTGTTTGTAGCCTGAGGTGGTCGTTATCATCTCTGTTTATATCTTGTTTTGTTGGTGTTTGGGAAATTGGGGGGGTGGGGGCATTTTATTTTTTGTCAAGATCTCGAGCCATTATTAACCTTCTGGGCTAAGATTCTCAATGTTAACTCTTCCCTTCGGCTAACACAGCGAGGACATTGAGTTCTGAGCCGGTTTAATTAAGTTTACAATGCTGATATGACGACCAACATGACTTTATAAGCGGAGTGAGACAACACAGTATTATCCAACCTGTAATGTTTAGTCCTTGCAGGCTCGGCCGAGAGAGAGGAGACCAAGTACTACTATAAACATCGACCAGGCTCTGTGTAGTCTTTACCACCGAGCAAGACTCACCATTACTACACTTAACATTAATAATTTACGTTTTATTGAAAAAAAATACAACCATTGTCTCTTGAACGCGTACCTGGCTAACACTCTCAGCAGGTGTTCAGTAAACAATATTATATATCATAAACATCAATGTCTCCCTCTCATGACTGTATAATTTAAGGAACACGATAAACAACATTTAAAGAGAGAAAATAAAAACAAACACCATCCATCACGTAAGAAAAACATCCATTAATGAGGTCAGTGAAGGCGGGCACTTGGTTGCCTCAACTAAGCTAAAATACCAATTGCAGAACCTTACCGTAATCTAATCACAGCAAAACCCAATGGGAAGAAGCTCTTGTGGGGTGGTCAGGTGAAGTTAGGTGAGGTCAGGCGAGTTGTTGGAGGTCGCTGTTACTGGTTAGAGTCCCACAAGCCACCCGTACCCATACCTGAAAAGATCATTCTTATATCAATTCTTAATAGTTGTTGTCTAGTACATTGGCTTATCTAGAATACTTGTTTAGAGACCTCAGTGAAGGGAGAGAGATGTGGTGGCAGGCGAGCGGTGTGTGCTGAGGTAGGGAATAAAAGAGGTATATATAAGAACATAAGAATGGAGGAAACTGCAGCGGGCCTATTGGCCCATACTGGGCAGTCCCTTTTACACCCAATCCTTATCACTCACATATCCATCCAACCTATGTTTGAAGCTATCCAGCGTATTCGAGTTAATGATGGTTTGGTAACTTGTTCCATTCATCCACTACTTGATTTCCAAACCAATGTTTACCTATTTCGCGCCTAAATCTAAATTTGTCTAAATTAAAACCATTGTTACGAGTTCGCTCCTGGTTGGATAGCTTGAGTACCTGTGTTATACCACCTTTCGAATCGAATCGATGGGTGAATTAAAGTGTGAAGAGATCTTGATGTTGGTGCGTAGATTGGTGGTGCGGGAAGTGGACTTGAAGAATGATGGAGGAGTTTGGAGGGACTTGGGGTTGGTGGATAGTGCAAGAAGAAAGGCGAGGGAATTGGAAAGTAGTAGTAGGATGACAGGTCTTGGGGCTCAACCCAAGTGCTTCTGTTTTCTCATGTTTGTGTTTCAGCTAATTATCGTCTTAGGTGTTAGGTGTTTGTATGTTTAACAAGTGTTGCAATTTTATGCCTTACATTTTCGGGTCTTGTGTCCTAGCCAATGGTGGGGAGTCTAGGGCAGGTACTTGTGTTTCTGCTAAGAACATCCCGTCTTCTTATGATCTAATGTTGTAAGTCGTAGGACTACCAAGGTTGTCACGGGGGTAACGTTGCATCTTTCAATAGAGTGGAGTTGGTGTGGGTTCTAGGGGTCTTCTTTTACTGACTTCCATTTATACACCTCGATCATATCGCTCTTCACTCTATGTCTCTCGAGGGAGTACAAACTAAGATGCTTTAACCTGTCTCTGTACTCAAGGTTCCTAATGCCCGGGATTAGTCTTGTCATTCTCCTCTGAATTCTTTCTGTCGTACGGTGAATGTATACTGTATGGTAATAGGGATAACAGAGAGATGTGTAGGGGTGGGATGTGTTGTTGAGCCTGTGTCAACATCTCTTTCTGACAAAATTGCTATATAAGTTAATATCTTTCTACAGGAAGCAGACCTGCAGGAGGCAGACCTGCAGGAGGCAGACCTGGTGGCGGATCTGGAGGCAGCGGGTGTGTCTGTAATCACGTCGTTTTCTGCGCCGTTGACCTGGACAAGGTATGGATGATCGTATATTTTAAACATTAAGGTTTAAATCGATATCTACATTCACTCGGTGCAATGAGAGAGAGTTTCTAATTAGTTTATTTGTTGTCATCAACAGATCTCACAATCGTGCACCTTACCTGATGGAAGCCCTGGTGCCTGCTGTCCCCAGAACACCCTAGCTGGTAGGTGCTGTCGAAATATTATTGATATTCTTTTTGTCTACCACTGCATACATGCTTTTTGTCAGTTTTCTTTAAATAGAAAAAAAAGGTTTAAAGAATATTTTATGGGTAACTGCTTAGTATCTTTCTGTTTCCTTCCCCACTATCACGTCTTTGCCTTTCCTTAAAAATTCTGTGCTTATTTATCCACGCCTCACAAAAGATGGAGAAGAGTACAGGCAAGAGATAGTAAAAGAGGCGGATAAACTGATGCAGCAGGTTAGATATAACTAAAAAGATAGCTGTTGGCATCTAAACTAAGGGACCCTACTGGAAATAAGCATATTCTGGTCTTGTCGGGTATCAATTATGATATTATATATATATATATATATATATATATATATATATATATATATATATATATATATATATATATATATATATATATATATATATATATATATATATATATATATATAATGAAGAGGAGAACCAGGGTAAACACACACATCTTGAAGTAGGGCTTCTTTTAATTGCTAACGTTTCGGAAATAATCCTTTTCCATCATCAGAGCCTAAAAAAGTTTTGAAAAAAGTTTAAAAATACAGGTGATATACAATAAAAACATAATATTATGCGAAAATTTACCTTCGATAAACTTCAAAAATTTTAAAAAGAGCAATCCACTCCAAAACCGACAAAAATGACGAGAGACCTACATACAAAGCTAAAATCAGGAAATAAAAAGTATGAAATAAAATGAACAGGGGGGTATTATTACCTTAATTCAGACGAGCCTTAATGTGAAAAACATAACAATTCACTAGAGGCCATATCACAAAGCGATGGCTCTGATGATGGAAAAGGATTATTTCCGAAACGTAAGCAATTAAAAGAAGCCCTATTATTTTTTTTCCTCTTCACCGCTGATCGGCTCGTTAGCCGCTTGGGCGATCGGTCACGTCTCTGAGCAGTTTTCCTTTTCATTTATCCTCTTCACCAAAAGATCTGCTCGCTAGCCGCCCGGGCGATCGGTCACGTCTCTGTCACGCACTGTTGGCAAATACTGGGCATGCACCGGCTCCTGAATGTACCTGAACCCGCTCCAGTGTTGGTCAAGTCTTGTCTTGAAAGAGCTCACACTCGGTGCCGTCACAACACTCTCTGGTAGATTGTTCCAAGAGTTTACAACCCTCACTCCGAAAAAGTTTGCCCTCACAGTTTTCTGGACTTGCAGCTTCTTCAATCTTGAGCTGTGACCCCTTGTGGGGCGAGCGTCCGCCAGCTCAAGTAAGGACACTCAACTGAGTAGTGCCCCCTGAGATGCTTATACACCTCAACTAGGTCCCCCCTTGCCCGTCTGTAGTATAAGCTAGGCAAGTTCAGGCGCTCCAATCTCTCAGGGTAGCTGAGGTGCCGAAGTGCAGGCACCAGTCTGGTGGCCCTCCTTTGAACATTTTCAACCAACTGACAGTCCCTAGCATATCTCGGGGACCAGAGAGAGAGACAGAGAGAGAGAGAGAGAGAGAGAGAGAGAGAGAAAGAGAGATATCTTAATTATCGACAGAATCACTTACACAACCTTAAATTCACCCATGTACGAACCCCTTATCCTATCCTCAACACGCCTCAAGTTGATAAAGAAACCTCTTCTTCAACGCTAGACCCCTTAAAGTTGGTACACAATCCCTTATCCAACACAAAGACCCTCCTTTAACTCCCCCTTCTCCTCCCCGCACACAGCCCTGACGCCTGGTCCGGGGCAGGGGGACGATAAGATCTTCTCTGCCGCCCAAGTTGCCGTCAGGTTGCCGAGCTTCGACATTAGTCAGATGGGCAACGCCTTATCGGAAGGTCTCACGCTCCGAAGCAGAACGCAACAGATCGAGCAGAACCTGATGCAGTAAGGAGAAAGAGAGAGAGACAGTTCCAACACTCATTCTCACTTAAGAAAACCATTATTCAAGAAACAATAAGATTTTATTAAACCAATTTCGATTTAAATACTATTCATATTATTCATTAAGTTTTTTCAATTGTACAGATATAAAAAACAAAGCCTCCTACAAAGTTTAAACTAGTTTTAAGGTATTTAATCACAAAATAATTACAGGCTTAAGAAAAACGACAAATACACAGAGAAAATGTAAACATTGTTAAGGATAACTAAACGAATCACAGTCATTGAATAAGGAAATTAAAAATAAAGGAATAATAATAATAATAATAATAATAATAATAATAATAATAATAATAATAATAATAATAATAATAATAATAATCCTTCCTTCCACAACGCAGAAATTCGTTGTTCCTGCCCAGAGACTCCCCAGCCGCCCACCATCTCCGGGTCTTCACCGTCAGCCCGCAGGCCAAGGCTATGAACCAAAGAGCTTCCGCCATCTACGCTGCCTCCAGGGGTCTAATGACCAAGTAAGGAAAGAGAGGCTTCCATCGCCCAATGAGGGAAGATTTAATGGTGTTTATTGCGAATACTTTCATCCATCTCCCTCCTTCCCTCCCTCTCTCCCCCCCTCAATAAATAAATTCCCATTGAAAATAATATAATTTGTTCGAGGAAATCTATAACACAGGCAGCCGATTCTAATATTTTTATAATTATCATAAAAGAATCAATAGAATTATTTTCAAAGAATATTGTCCAGTATATTCTTAAAATTTATCTTAAACAGAGTATTAAGTCTCAGCTCTAATGAAGTTGTGTATTGCTCCAACCCAATCCAACCCCAGATCCCTCCTCCAACAAGGGTTCTTCTGGACGATCCATCACCGAACATTTTACAGTGTACGTGTACACGTCTCTCACCGGACACAACGTTAATTTGTCTATAACTTTCAATAACTGGAAAATAACTTCATATGACGAGGGTGAGTTAATCTGATAGTAAACTGATGAATGGGTTTTTAATTATCGCAAGATGATAAGAAATCTTGAGTCAGGAAACAATACAGACATGCTAGTGTTGTGAGCTGGGAGGATAAAGTTTATCTAAGTACGTTTGTAGAGAAAAAAAGGTAATTAATACAAATTTCAGTAAATCAGAAATAAAACCTAAAGATTTTCCATGAGGACGAATACTCAGATTTAATGTGTTTAAACTCAGTATCAAAAACATCAACAACAGTTTAGGAAGTTTATTTGCTGGCAGAGAGATATTAATGATGTCTTTGTTTTTACAGTTTAAACTTGCCGTCACAAACAGCCGGCTTTAGTCTGAGGACGGTACAAGTGGGAGGAACAAGCCTGCAGGATATGTGCCCACAGGATCCTTCTTGTAACTCCCGTAGCAAGTACCGTACTGCTGATGGCTCGTGCAACAACCCCAATAACCCAACATGGGGCATGAGCAACACTCCCGTACAGAGAATCTTGCCGCCAACTTACGATGATGGTCAGTGATGTCTACATATACTGTGTTGTATAGAATTTCATATTTACTTTTTCAGACAATTTCAGTATTGAGAAACCTAAGTAAACCTGGTGGTATTTACTCCTCCACTTGTTTTTACTTGATTAATGCTTAGTAAAACTCGGTTCTCCTCAGGTGTGTTTGCGCCACGATCAAAAGCCACTGATGGGTCAATTCTACCTAATGTTCGTCAGATTGTCAACCAAATTCTGATCGACTTAGATAAGCCAGACGATATATACACGTCATCTGTGATGCAATGGGCACAGTTCCTGGACCACGACTTTGCCCACATTCCTTTCCCTAGTCTAGGTAAGATATTCCTCTGGTCATTATGCGAGCCTCTTACCAAAACATATAACAAAAATACGAATAATAATGAACGCAGAACAAAACTAACTCTCCCATACAGCAAATTACTAATTTTTGTTCTCTATCAAACTGCCTTAAAATCGAGTATATTATTTTTTCTTCATCCTCAGAAAGCGGAGAAGGGATCCAGTGTTGCCCGGAAGGACAGGAGGTCACAGGGGAGCTCCGTCATCCTTTATGCTTGCCCATTAACGTCACAGGCGACCCCTTCTATGGACCTCGAGGCAGCAACTGCATGAACTTCGTCAGGAGTATGTTTGCTGTGGGCACCGGATCGTCCTGTACATTTGGTTTTGCAGAACAGGTAAGTAATATTGACTAATTAAATCACTTTATTCTGCACGATCTGGCACGCTACTTCTAAGGGCTTCAACAAAAAATTACAAGTGATAGTTAAGTCCTTGTAACATACGGCTCTGTATTGTTCTGTTTATATTGTGGTAAATATTTGAGTTTTGATACGACTTTTCGTCTCCTGCTCTATATCGTTACTAAGTTCTAAACTACAATATCCTACGATAGCTATAGTTAGGTTAAGGTTTGTGTGTGTGTGAGAGAGAGGAGGAAGGTAAACACTCACTCACTCACTGACTCACTCCTTCAACCTGTACATCCCTTCCAGCTGAATCAACTGACACACTGGATAGACGCATCCTCAGTATACGGCTCCACTGAGGACGAACAGAGAGCCCTAAGAACCTTCAACAATGGCCTCCTTAAAACGTCTGGCGCCAACCTGCTGCCCATCAACCCCAACCAAGGAGGGGAGTGTGAGGCCATGGGGCGTGGTGCCCTCTGTTTCATTGCTGGTGGGTCACGACGAATCCCTCTCTTGTTGATACTAAAGTCATATTCCTACATTCCCACATTTACACATTCCCATATTTCCATATTTCCACATTCAGATACTGTGTTAAGTTATATGCAAATTAAGCCGCCGATTTAGTTGTACTTATGAATCGTGTATACAGATTTTTAGGTCTTAGGCAGAAATATAAGTACAAGTGCCGATTTAGATAATAAGGCCATAGAGATTTTAAAGTGTTTGTATTCAGAAAATATAAGTGAAGTGCAGATTTAAGTATGTAATAAGTCAGATTTAAGTTCGCATTGAGAAATATGAGTAAAAGTACCGATTTAAAGTGTAATATAAATCATATAAAATTAGAAGTGCTATTTAAGTATGTAAGTAAAGTATAAGTGATCACATGAAGTTTAGCCCCCCTCCCTAGTTTATTTCACCTGATAATTAAATACCCAAATGCTACATAGGAGTTAGGTTAGGTTAGGTTAGGTTAGGTTAGTCATGGCTCTGCAAAACTATCTCAGTGTGTGTGTGTGTGTATTAGGGATGGCATCCATAGAGGTAACAGGCACAGTAATAATTAAAACAGTATCACTATTTTCTCCACAGGTGACTCGCGAGTGAACGAACAGCCGGGACTGACAGCCATACACACCATCTGGATGAGGCAACACAACAAGGTGGCCTTCGAGCTACAGAACATCAACCCTCAGTGGTCAGACGAGGCCGTGTTCCAGGAGGCCAGAAGGATCATTATTGCTCAGATCCAACACATCACCTATAACGAGTGGCTGCCTATCATTGTCGGTAGAGAGAGTTAAACTTTCGATACTGTGAAAACTATACCAACATAATCTAAATAAAGTGTTTATTATCGAGACATTCTGCCACACACAAAATGCACGCCAAGGATTTCTACTGTACACACACACACACACACACACACACACACACACACACACACACACACACACGACTTAATAAACCCGTGTCATTTTCTCTTCTCAGGCGATAACTTCGTGCGATCCTTCGGCCTCAACGTCAGGAGGTCCGGCTTCAGCCCCGACTACAACCCGAATCTTAACCCTAACATGAACAACGAATTCTCCACTGCTGCTTTCCGATTCGGTCATACGCTGGTGCAGGGAACACTACGGTAAGTTATATTTGATCGGATTTGTGTTTGGTCTGGTTATATCTTATGTTGTACAGTTCTTCTTAAATTAATTGAGTTTTTTTATGTTCATTTATTCTTATTATCCTTTATATACGTTCATTTATTTTCTTGTTTATATTTATTATTTACATTTACCATCACTCAGGTTGTTCTCTTCTACGGGTGGCGTCAGCACCATCAAACTCCGCGACCACTTCAACTCTCCTCATCTAATCGAGCTCCAGGGAAAACTCGATGACATTGTTCGAAGCTTCACTCAACTGGCCATCCAAAAGTTCGATTCCTTTATCACTCAAGATTTGTCGAACCATCTGTTCCAGGTGAGCTATGGCAACTATTATTATGGGAAGGGAGTAGAGGTATTGTACAGTGAGGGGTAATGTGTTAGGTTGTCAGATGTTTACACGTACAGTATTGGGTTTTTTGAGTCTGGTCGACGATCATCATCATCATCATCATCATCATCATCATCATGGTCTTTCCTTCTGCCGACAGACTCCCAGGTTCAACTTCGGCATGGACCTTATGAGCCTCAACCTACACCGAGGGCGTGAACACGGCATCGCCACCTACAACGACATAAGGCAGGTGTGTGGCCTCCCTCGAGCCACCTCCTTCCAGGACATCACCGACCAGATCGACGGTCGTGTGAGTATTGTTATGGTTATCGTCTCAAACCACAATTGTTATCGTTTCCCTTTGTTATTATTACCGTGGTTTTTAAATGTTCTTCTGAAGTTAGACTAACTCCCATTTTGACTTAAAGGTTAATTATTATATCAAGTTTTTATTCTGTGCCCTTTCTTTACTTTATGGTCATGATTTTTTTTTTGACAATAAGTGTTCATATAGTTGTAACATGAGCAGTACCGTTGCCTACATACACCTCACTTCTCTACACCGTCACAGATCGTGGCAGAGATGCAAAAGCTCTACAAGTCCGTGGACGATATTGACTTCTTTGTGGCCGGGATCACTGAGCGGCCAGTCTCCGGTGGTCTCCTGGGCTGGACCTTCCTGTGTGTTGTAGGAGACCAGTTTGCACGACTCAAGAAGGGAGATCGGTTCTTCTACGACCTCGGAGGACAACCAGGATCCTTTAAAGAACGTGAGTAATGGTTTGTTCTGTGAGTGTCGTAAGCAATGTTTAATTTACTGTAGTAGTGAACAGTTTACTTCCATCAAGGTGTGAACGTTCTATCAAAGTATTGATAAACAGTTGGATCGTGTCCACTGAATCATTAATCTCATGCGACTTTATGCATCACTTAAGACGTCAAGTATAAAGCTGAACATAAATTAGCAACTATAAGGCAAGAGGATATCATCATCACACGTATGTTTGGTGTTGAGAGAAATTCTTGCCTTGGATCACTAGACGGAGACTATACTGTACACCACAAAGTCCATGAGGTCATTCTCACTTAATATAAACCTATGCTTTATGACTTAAGTGTCACGTCTCTACAGTAAGTCATTAATAAACATGGTTGGTTCTGTGTTGCAGCTCAACTTCAACAGATCCGTGAGTCCTCCTGGGCAAGAGTCCTGTGTGATAACTCCAACATGCAGGCCGTCCAGCCCCTCGCCTTCAGGCAGACCAACAGCAGATTGTAAGCCTTATCAGCGTTTTAAGGTCAACTTGTATATATAAAATTTTCATGATTATAAATTCATTTGTGCTTGAAATTTATAAAAAACTTTATTTTGCTTGTTTCATTGATGTCATATTTTTTTTTTATTCGCGAGCTAACTAAATGTTGTGTTCTTTTGACAGCAACGAACCAGTGCCGTGTCAGAGTCCTAGCATCCCGCGTCCTGATTGGTCCTTCTGGCGGGGAGAGTCTGCCGGCAAATAACTCCCAGAGACTCGCTGATCTACGGCCGCCGCCCTTGCCTTCTATTATGTGACTTGAAAAAAAAATGTGATTATTTGAATGGCTGATGTTCAGTACACAGTCATATGTACTCATGTGATATCCATCTCTCCCTTTTATGTGCTAACAACACATACAGTACATACATTCAGGAACGTACATAAACACAGATACATTCATGTACTAATGTTTTCAAATCATGAATATTATTTTGAATAAAGATTAGAATTTTAGAGTGATATATTACTTATCTCCTCACCGTCACCGTCACCGCCACCGTCACCGTCACCGCCACCGTCACCGTCACCGCCAACGTCACCGTCACCACACGAGCTCCGGCAGGATGTGTACTCACGACAGCTTTACTTCCTCCTCCAACCTTCCACATCAATGTAAATATAATATCAATGGCTACGATTCATTTACGAACCTGTCCGAGACGACATGTGGACCTCCGAGGCAGCCAGGTGAAGGGGGAGATGTTTTGAAGAGTCGAAATGGTGTGAAATTAAACTGAAGGAGGAGACATTTACTGCTGGATACACTTACTGCTGGATACACTTACCGCAAAGAAAGGAGAAAGGAAGCATACAAGTGCTACCTATACCAAACACTTCAATAGACGGAACTCAGAAACCACAGGAGTAGGAGAGGAACACACACACACACACTACACCCAACCCACAGCTTAAGGAATTAGAGTATAATAAAAGAACAAACATCAAGCTGCCCTCCTCCTCCCCATCAATCATTAAGCTGCAGAGACCAATTATGCCTTGAGGGTGATTAATATATTGCGTTGAAGGAGATGGTACAGAAACAGGGCGCTGAGGCTCTGAGGCTCCCGATGAACAGTTATAATTGAACACTTCTGTACTCGTAGACTCAATGAAGGATCTTATGTTAGTTAAGGAGTGGACACACACACGCACACACACACACACACACACACACACACACACACACACACACACTCTCAACAACAAATACTATCCACATATACTTTTCACATAGTTACTCACATGTTCTATCCACACATAATATTTACACACATTATCCACAAACACTATCCACATATAATATCCACACAATATCTACACAGAGTATCCACACACTATCCACGTATACTATCAACACATAATAACTACACACACACACTATCTACACAAAGTATCCACACAATTATCCACAAGAGCTATCCACACGCTATCCAGACACACTATCCACACGAAATATCCTCACAATTATCCACAAGTTCTATCCACGCACACTATCCACACATCATCCTACATATCTCCGTGGCAAGGTTAGGCTGATAAGGTAATATATATATTTAGCTCTCTTATCAGACCCCGAAGGCTGATGATGGACCCCACCCCATGGCTTGTGGTGGCTGTCTCAGTGTTACCTTGTGCACCGTCTAGCCCCGTGCACCAGGTGAACTCCTCTGTGCACCGTCTAGCCCCGAGCACCAGGTGAACTCCTCTGTGCACCAGGTGAACTCCTCTGTGCACCGTCTAGCCCCGTACACCAGGTGAGCTCCCCAGTACACCAGGTGAGCTCCCCCGTACACCAGGTGAGCTCCTCTGTGCACCATCTAGCCCAGTACACCAGGTGAGCTCCCCCGTACGCCAGGTGAGCTCCCCCGTACACCAGGTGAGCTCCCCCGTGCACCTCACTAGTACAGCTACAACACGGTCAGGTAGACGTTCTTGTCCTTGGCTCTGGGAGGACACGGAGGCCACCAGGTGTTGCCCCGCCTCTTGTATCCGCTCGATGAAAGTTCCTCTACAGCCCTTGAGCCCGCCCTGGCAGCCCTTGACACCTCCCTGACAGCCCTTGACACCTCCCTGACAGCCCTTGACACCTCCCTGACAGCCCTTGATACCTCCCTGGCAGCCCTTGACACCTCCTCGACAGTCCTTGACACCTCCTGACAGCCCTTGACACCTCCCTGACAGCCCTTGACACCTTCCTGACAGCCCTTGACACCTCCTGACAGCCCTTGACACCTCCCTGACAGCCCACCTCCCTAACAGCCCTCGACACCTCCCTGACAGCCCTTGACACCTCCTGACAGCCCTTGACACCTTCCTGACAGCCCTTGACACCTCCCCTGACAGCCCTTGACACCTCCCTGACAGCCCTTGATACCTCCCTAACAGCCCTCGACACCTCCTCTTGACACCTCCCTGACAGCCCTTGACACCTCCCTGACAGCCCTTGACACCTTCCTGACAGCCCTTGATACCTCCCTCCTCGACACCTCCCTGACCCTCCTTGACACCTCCCTGACAGCCCTTGATACCTCCCTGACAGCCCTCGACACCTCCCTGACCCTCCTTGACAACCTCCCTATAGAACTTTACATCAAGTCAATACAGTTTCGTCTTCACTTTCTTCCGCCACTTATTTTAGTTCGGTGGAAGTGAGAGACTTTCTGCCCTGAGCCTTTACTTTCTTTTCTCTCAATGCTTTCTACCCCAATGGTATGGTCGTGGTGGCCGACTGGATAAGGCATTCGTCTCTTAACATTAGGGTCGCTGGTTCGCGCTTATTAAACCCCCACCTCACCATACCTGCCTTTACAGTTGGGTACGTGAAGGTAGTCGGGTTCGGTGCCAATCATACTGCCTCCTTTGCTTGGTGAGGAGTTCTAATCTGGCATCTCTAATGTTATCTCTCACTCTTATCTCTAACTTTAGTCGTTTTTCACCCTAGTCTCTCTTCTTATCATATCACTTTCCCCCTTTGTTAACCTTGACTCTCTTTTATCTCAACAATCTTCAACTGATACTGTCGGTCTTAGCTAGTTCTGGACCCATAACTCTCCTGTACCCTTTTATTTTTCCTGTTTCCACTCGTCACCGTCCACCAACAACATCCCAAACTCATGCATTTTTTTAATACGGTGACAACTGTTGAATAATTATATGTTTGTAATTATTTGTCTCCTGTTTAACACATCTATCTCTCTCTCTTCGTACCATCTAGAGCGCCACTTTTGCCTTGAAAGCTAAGGAACGTTTGGTAAACTCAATTATTTGTGGGAAAATGACTCTCAATGACACCGAGGAAGAGAATTATGAAGACTAGCTCCCCCAGCTTATTTCACCTGATGATTAAACACCCTAACTCTAACTGGGGGCTTAGGTTAGATTAGGTAAGTTTATAGGTTAAGGAAAGTTAGGTTAGGTTAGATTAAGATAGGTTAGATTAGCGTTAGGGTGTAATAAGCTGGGTGTCTAATCTTAACATGATGATCTGATGTGAAATTGCCTAATGATTTTACTGAATAAATTCCTATCTATCAATAATGCATCTGGAAACTTACTGACGAACTCATTTGTGTCAACTGTGATAATATTGCTGTTATTGTTCTCTTTGTATCTGTATTCCTCTGGCTAAATATACAGTTTATATAACCCCGCCAGACTTTCCTAGTGTGCGCACGAGACGTTACCAACTCCTCCTTTTATTATACGTCTTATTAACCTTCATAAATGTCTACATACTTCTCATGTTTATGTTTGGGTTTGGTTCAGTATCCTCCTGACACAGTGTGATAACAGAGACCGTATGTCAGTCCTGTTTTAAGAAGATACAGAGAGAATTAATCTGCTCTGAATGTTCAAGTAATCACAAATTGTCAACATAAGGCTTCGCATGTCAGCGTGTGTGTGTGTGTGTGTGTGTGTGTGTGTGTGTGTGTGTTTCAGCAGAAGAGATACAGAATATTCACCTATCACACCAATTTGTTAACTTCATTATTGCAAGACAAATTTGTTTAAACTATTTGTTATGCTAAACGGGATATAATTTTCCGAATGAACAAGTGAATCATAATGTCTGGATAATAAAAATTATGAGTCCCGTGGCAACTCACTCAACAATGGTTGGCGGAGTGTTGCAACTGAGGGTGGCGCCTGCGCTTATGCCTGACACAAGTAAATGAGGGACTGTGAGAGTGAAAGTAACTCGCCTTGCAAGACAGGGACTTAGGTCGGTCGGGGCTGTGAGGAAACCAACAATAGAGACGTTGTAAGGAAGAGGAGGGACTGTGATATTAGTGATAAATTATCGTAGTTACAAGCAAGGCGGGGAGGACAGTATAGCTGTTGGGTGACACGTCTTCTTATCGGGAGTAAAGCGAAGCACCGCAGCAGCAACAGAGCACGTTGTGAATTGGGGTCAGATCCACATATTATAATTGTGGTCATGTGACAGTATATTATCGTGGCCTGCAAGACTCGAATTAACAAGGTAGTGAGGCGAGAACAGTGATCACACCAAGTTTAATTCTCCTAAACCTGTTTGAACTGATAAATAATGGCAAGTTCATCAATGTTTTATGTGTGAAACGAATACATAATTACAGTGGTGGTGTTTAGAATGTGTGTGTGCGTGTGCCAGTCTTGGTGCTGTAGTGAGGTGGGGTCGGTTAGGGGCTGCTGGTGTTGTACTTGTATCTGGTTAAAAAAACTTGTAAAAAAAAAACTTGTGACGAACATTATTATGACATTACAAATCATTTATATTATTTTGAGAAACAGGAAACGTAATGATCCAGACGAGTGCGAATAACAGTGAGAGAAATAAATGATCTTCATATCATAACTGAATTACGTGTTAGGAAGAGTTACACTTGTGAGAAACTGATATTCACATGCGTCACCAGCTCTATGGACGCTACTCCACACTGAGGGATTATTTTGCTGGTGTGTTTTGTCTGTTTCTTCCTTCGTCAGGTAAGGTAGAAAGTGTTTATAGTGTGGGCACGAGGATGTCTTTATTTTGGTCTCTTCGCCACTGATCGGCCTTTTAGTTGCTAGGGCGGTCGGTTATATCACGTGTCTGTGATCGGGGTAATGTGGGTGGGGGTGTATTCGAAGGCGTGGATGTTGTGGGTGTCGCTGGTGGGGTGATGTGGCTTGGGGTGTAATCGAAGGATGTGGTTGTTAGTGTGTAATGCGGTAAACAACATAATCAAAGGTCTGTGGCAAAAATCTCGGTTCGACTGAAAAAAAAATCGCATGAAAAGAAAGTCCCTCCTCCCTCTGACTTGCATCAATACTTCAAGGTTAAGGTAAAGTCTTAGTGTATAGTAGACGGAATATAAATTAACTTTGAGAATTCGTCTTTATGATTTAATTTAAATAGTCCAGTTAGATACGTTCCCAGATCTTCAATTAGGGGTGAATTAACGGGCAACTTTTTGACACCTAACACCCTGGCTGATAAGGGAAGCTGAGTAAGTTAAGGAGCTGCCTCTGGGTAGACAAGAGCTACCTGAAACAACTCCAGGTATACTCCACAGTCCAGACTCTCAAACATTCGTACCTTGTACTTTCTCCGGTGATTGGAGACCTAAGAATATATTTAACACGTTCATTTAAGCAACAATATAAATATGGCAGGTAAGATGGTGTTAAACTTCTCCTGGGGTTGTATCGATTCTTCATGCTCTTAAATAATCCCAGTTACGGAAGAGAAAATTCTTCTTAGCAGCTAATGTGAATCTGAGTGATGAGAATGAGCCGATAATGTAATAATTCTACCAAGGAATTGCGTCGCATTAATAATTATATGTCAAGGCCGTGGAAAACAGAGTTTCCGCTCATGTTGTGCATCTACGTTTTCTATGACGTGGCCACAATAATGGGAACCAAGGGTAAACTATTTCTTGTTTACGTAAAAGTGGTAGGATTTTAGGTATTTTTCTGTATTAACACTCAACTCACGCACAATAATACAATTGGCCCTACCACTTACCTTATACAATTCTACTGCAAGCAAATTTTCTTCCATAAAAATCCGTCGGAAATTATTGTTTTTTTTTTTAAAGTAATTACTTTGGTTGGTTACAAAGCGTGAGTGGCCAGAGCGCGTGCACTAGCAGAAGCATTGTGGGAGAGCTGCAGCCAATGAATTAACATTATTAAAAATCAGCCAACCATCTTCTTCCTTGAGGTGACAGCCCGGCAGATTTGATTTTGAAAAGTCAGACTCAGTCCCTGGCCAGCCATGTCTGTGTGTGTGCACGCTGCGACTGGAACTATTTTGTTGCCATTTCCAAGTTCAATGAGAATAACAACAGGGCTTTAGACTTTCTTCGCGAGCACTGTGTTTTGTCCAGGCCTCCTCCTAAGTGCCCAACGCATGATAAAGTTCTTAATTATCGAAATATTGAATTTTTTTCAAGGCAATTATTTTGGAAGGCGACCGAGTAAAACAGCAACCTTCCTTGCCTCTGAAGACGGACACGATCCTCAACCTCAGCCCGGGCCTTCATCAGGGTAAACGGTAGGCAGAACAATGGTTAATTCTCGATTAGGTTAGGTTAGGTTAAGGGGTCATAACTCAGAAACGAGTGATTTTCGACAGAAATGGATGTTAAATGGATGTTAGAATCAAATGAATCACACTAAACACCTTCGGAAAATGAAAATTTTAAGCTTCAAAGGGAGTTGAGTGTTAATCAGGAAATTACCGGATTTTATTTGTTTATGATTTGTCATAAGCTGGACGTATACAACTTTATCACGACATATCTTCCGAGAGCTTAACTTTTTCATTGGAAGTAAACGAAACGTTATTATGCAATACACATAAACATCATAGAAATTTATTCGTTCATGTTAAAAAAACAATAATTGTTAAAAACACTTTCGGTAGTTATATTTCTACTACTACTACTACTACTTTTTTTTTAAACGTGGCCTCCAGCCTCCCCCAATAGCCACACCTTAGCCACCATTTAATTACCTTAATATTAAATATCCTAATACATAAGTAGCTATCCTATCTGTGTTAACTTAGTTGAGCCGCAGATCTATGCGGCATTCAGTGACAGTAGCCTCATAGTCAATATCTGCAGCAGTTGTCAGAGTTGGGGCAGAAGCTCTCGTTCCCCTGAGGCAGAGCAAAGCCGACCGAAGGAGAGAGAAAGACAGTCGACATCTCATCCAGGCTGTTACATAAATTCTGGGCTGCTGCTTCTGTTCGGAGATCACCTCAGCGAGTCTGGCGTAGAAACATCTTGCACTTGGTCCCATCCCACCAGAGGTTGTGAACACTAGAGGAGTGAAGCTGCCTTGATCAACGTTTTGAATTCTCTCCCCATATGCCCTTCTCTTGTCGTTCTCGTTCCTCCTATGTGCAGCATCGAGAGCTAGGTTACGGTGACATGCGGCCATGGGATCAAAAATCCTGATGTCGAAGAAAGCTCGCTGTCCCCGCGTCCAGAATCCTCGAGCACTGACGTCCACACGGGCTTCGTTAGATGTGTTTGAAGTCCTGTGTTGGAAGATCTCACCATCCAATGGAAGGAGGGTCGGTTCTACCATGACATCCCGGCAGATTTCCTTCAACATATTTGCTGTGAGGTCCCTTACCTCATCATGCCTCATGCATATGAAGCCCCCTTTCTTGCACACCATGGCGTGATCGCCGTCATAGGAAGAGCCACACACGCATTGGGAGGGCAAACCTTCTACTGGCCGACCGTACCTTAGAGCAATGGCATCTGTAAATTCTTGTTTATTAAGACTGAAACCATTTGCCCTTATCGGTAACGTAGTTAACCAGTTCGAGGCGCCCACCTCCTGCGCTATAGCTACTTTTTTTTCAAATTTTCTGGTACCTGCAGCAACAGTTGCTGCAACTTATCATTTTGGCAGTGCTGTCGATCTGTCGTAATGGACCTACGAATCTTATTTACTTCACTGGTATCCACTTCCCCTGTTGCATTTTGGGCTATTATGTGGTCCGTGAGGGCTGCCGTGAGCTTAAGTGAATTTTGATGTTCAGTGGCAGCAATCTCCTCTGGATTAGTTAGTCCCATCCTTCCCAGTCTTGATGGAAGTGCAAGAAGTGCACTTTCTGCTGGGTTAAGTCAGGGTGTTTCACTAATTTAGGAATGAAATTGACACTGACAACTTCTTCCAGAGGGTGGAGGAGGGGTCCGATATCAGGGATAGTACGCATCAGGTAGTTCCAACGATGCTTGACTCCATGGGTGAATGTAGCAAAGGCCGCATGTGGCTCTGTGTTAGCAATCTCGGACAGAGCTTGGATTTCACTAACCCACTCATTCACCTTTCCCGCTACGTACTCGGTCTTGAAGTCCGTAGTGTCAATTACTGCGCCTAGATGTCTTTGGCCGTCCTTAGTTATTTTGACCTCACTTCCGCCAAAAACCTCCATTGCCCGTTCATAATGTTCTGGCTTCACGATGAGGAAGGACTTGCTGGCGTTTGGGTGGTACCCTATTTCTGGACCTCGCGATGTTACCAGGTCCCACCACTTTTTGATGCCCTCCACTTTTCCTGCTCCTGTAAGGTCATCAGCATATGCCACTTGTTTGACCCCAGTTGTTTCAAATTTTATTTCTTGTTGGAGCACCTCTTAGAGCCTTGTTGTTTACTATGTAGAGGTTTGATGGATTCCTATACGAATTTTCAACATACATTGCAAAGCTTGGACACTTGATCTTGATGTTGTGCAGTGCAGCCTTGCGGTTAAGTATGTTGAATGCGTTTGAAGCATCCACCAGGAGAACGGCCTCACAATCACACTTGTAGGTTCCCTGCTGCTGCTCTGACATCATCCTTTACCACCTCCATTATGCATTTGCCGATGATCCGCCTCAGCACTTCCCCCACCCCTATAGGTCTACATCCTGGTTTCTTTTCCAGAGGAATAAGGCGGCAGGCCGTCAGGGCCTGGAGGTGATGGCAGCAAGAGGATGCAAGCTTTCTTGCAAGGGCGGCAATGGCAGTGCAGAGATCGCTTGCTACAGGGCCAAACTTGTTTGTGCTGAGGATGACTCTCCAACCGTTTGCATCCAGACCTGAAGGGCCGGCTCCTCCCCGAGTCTTCAGTGCCTTTTTCCACACTATCTCTCCTGTTATTTTCTCGAACAGGACAGCGTTTGGTGGGATATAGACACCCTCGAACCTGATGCCTTCGTCTTCGTTTGCAGGGGGATGTTTCTCTTTCAGTAGTTTTAATGTCTACCACTACTACTACTACTACTACTACTACATAAAAAAATAACTACTACTACATGTTTACTGCTGCAAAAGGCTGCATGGACACTGATCAACTAAAGCAGGTCGTGTGAAGGTCGTATCCAAGACGTGCGGGTCGTCGCCCGGTGTTCCTAGCTGGCCTGGTAGTACACACACCCACACACACACACCTTATGTTGCCCTCACTCTCTCGTTACATCTTACACAACTCGTTAAACTATGATCATTTTAGCTTGATGGTGATGCTACAAGATTTTCTCTGTTCTCTGCTGATGGATGATGAACCATTATGACAATTTACTGTATAAACGTGAATTATTTTTAGAGGGTTTAACTCAATGCTGATTACCTAATTTACAATGTCTTCACTGCTTTTGTTTATTAAAATTATTATTATTATTATTATTATTATTATTATTATTATTATTATTATTATTATTATTATTATTATTATTATTATTACTATTATTGTTGGTGTTATTTTTAGAGTAATATTAAGAGGTGTCTCACAGGGTCATTGTTCCCAGGTCACTGTTCCTATCCAAATTGGCGACGAGTCGAACCGGTCCTTACTGCACTAGGCAAGGACCCACACGTGACCTGGTGGGTCATCCTACACCTCCTACAAGAACCAAATGTGACCTGGAGGACATCCTACGTATCAGAGGATTAACCCTACAGTATATGGTTTAAGGTGACCTAGAATAACCTCAAGTGACCTCTGACCCAACACAGGATGACTCATAACATCTACACCGCCACTCGCATTAGAGGTCTGTCAGTGAGGGACATCCGCTTCCCCACCTCCCTCGAGTCTGACGGTTCGGATGCTATTGTAAGTACACCGAGTGGTTGTCTGTCTGTAAGGGGGAAAAAGTTATATCGTTTCTGTCCTCCGAGTTACTTTTCTGAATACAGTACTTCTTCTTTCTTATCCTTTTTCTCCATTCATTTTTTCTTTCTCCCCTTCCTCATCTTCTAACTTCCTTATCTTCTCCATCATCCCCTTCTTCCTCCTTCTCATACTCTTCCTCTTTCTTTAACTTATCCTCCTCCTGTTTGTTTGTTTATATGAATATTTCTTAAGGGTCCCGCCATCTTCTCCCTCCTCCTCCTCTTCCTCCATCTCTTCCTCCTTCTTTCCAACGTCTTAAAAACCTCCAATTATTCTTCCTTTTAAGTCACCTGTCTTGTTCATCTCCAGCTATACGTGTCCTTATATTCATGAACAATAAATTATACAATATTTAAGTCTATATTCGTAAATTGTACATAAGGTATCAGAATCTTTATACACTAAGTCTTATACTAAATATAAGGTATCTGAATATCTATAAGTAAACATATATCTGAATTTATAGTCGTACTTATAAATATGTGTAGCATCTGATCCCCCTTGTGACTGTCCGCAGCACCCTGATCCTGACTACTCCTGCACCTACGTGATCCTGTACACGGATACAGACTTCAAGGGACATGGCATCTCCTTCACCATCGGCCGAGGCAATGAGTTGGGTGAGTTATCTGGGTAATTCATTGACGGAACTTAGGATCAACTTGATTTTGTTCTGTGTGTTGATATGGAGATTGTTGTTATTATTGTTTATATTACGAATGTAGTTATTGTTATTATTATCAATGTATTCTTCTTCGAAACAGGTTGGTAAGAATATTAATCTGAAATCAAAGGTCTAAACGTTAAACGAGGAAAGAATGATATGAGCTTGTGACGAGAGAGAGAGAGAGAGAGAGAGAGAGAGAGAGAGAGAGAGAGAGAGAGAGAGAGAGCAGTCACTAGCCAAAAAAACAAAAAAACAAAACCGCTTTAAATAATGACAAAATGAGTTGTTTTTACACGCTGAAGGTCAAGAAGCCTAGTACCTTCAGTCAAGTGTTGCAACCAAGTGCGTCGTAACTCTCCCCTCCACAATAACAATCTTAATATATATAACCTTCAGCAAAATAAATAATATTAAAGTTGTATTTCTTCTTGTTCCTGAAGGGGTGTATTGGTGTCGTAATCTTGTTCCCATGTCTCCTAAAGCCTCTCTGGGGGCTGGACGAGGCAGGTGTTCTCAGGCCTCTCTGGGGGGCTGGACGAGGCAGGTGTTCTCAGGCCTCTCTGGGGGGCTGGACGAGGCAGGTGTTCTCAGGCCTCTCTGGGGGCTGGACGAGGCAGATGTTCTCAGGTCTCACTGTATGTGAACAGTTGCTCATTTTCCCATCGATCTTACCCCCAATTGTTGTGAGGTTATGAAACACTGAACCACGACGAGTGTTATGTATTCCAGCCATCACACACACACACACACACACACACACACACACACACACACACACACACACACATAACACAGAGACTATACCTTAACTAGACACGTTCATTTAATATCTGCAGTTAGGAGACAAAATTACTGTATAGAATGTTTAAAAATTTCCACGTTAACTTTGTCTGGTGTTAACTGAACTTATGTTAACTTTGTCTGGTGTTAACTGAACTTATGTTAACTTTGTCTGGTGTTAACTGAACTTGATCTAGTTAAGGGAGAGTCTCTGAAAATTGTAACGTTATATATGAATACTTTTTTTGTGTTATTGAAGAACCTTTGTCAATACAGACCTTGTTGCTGGATCTTGCAACATGAACAAATAAAAACCTTGAGCCTCTTAGAGAAACCATAATACCTTGATAACTATTGGCCAATACTGAGCGTGAACAGTGTAGGTCAGTGTTACCTAAGTCACCCCTGCTTGACGATTGGGTTAATGTTGACGTCTATTGGCTGAGGTGATTTTGTTTTGAGGTGTAATTTTGTTGGGTAAAATATCATGCACGCATATTATTATTATTATTATTATTATTATTATTATTATTATTATTATTATTATTATTATTATTACGATTGAATGAAAAAGTTTAGTGGTAAGGAATGTAGTGCCTCAAGAATCCTAATTAATAGCCACCAGGTGATACTTAGTAGACGACACACCTGTCTAATACACCTGTCTTGTCTCTCACAGCTTCTCTCTCTCTAACACACACACACACACACACACACACCATTGATCATCATAACACCACACACAACCACCCCTGACCGAAACTCATTTATACTCAAGACGAACAAAGTGTAAATCCCTGCCACACACATTGCTGTTCTTGCATCATATAACCTCCAGGAGTACAAAACATCCTGCTTTAAATATATTCAATCCATAGTGAAGTGTCTTGCTAAATAAAACTGTAAATAACAATGCGGCATCTCATCTCACCTCACCTCACTGATCAAAGAAAACGTTAAAATTTGTATAGTTTCCCCTTAAGTTTAGGGATTTTTTTCGTTCTTTGTTATTACTATACGATGATAAAACTACAAAAACAGTTCTCGATACAAGCATAAAACAGCCCTCAACACTAACATAAAACAGCCCTCAATACAAGCATAAAACAGCCCTGAACACTAACATAAAATAGCCCTCAACACTAACGTTAAAACAGCCCTCAATACTAACATAAAACAGCCCTCAACACAAGCAAAAAACAGCCCTTAATACTAACATAAAACGGCCCTCAATACAAGCATAAAACAGCCCTCAACACAAACATAAAACAGCCCTTAACACTAACATAAAACAGCCCTCAACACCAATATAAAACAGCCCTCAACTTAAATATAAAACAGCCCTCAACCCAAACATAAAACAGCCCTCAACACAAACCCCAAAAGCCTACATTAAAATAAAAAAAAGCCCAATTAAGAATCACTAAAAAAAGCGCCATCAACAATAGCCTTGACTAATGACCCTTTTGTTGACAGTGGTGGAGGCGGTCAAGTCCTTATCCCACTTGGTGGTGGGGAAGGACCTAAAGGATATCTACGAGGATTTTGCTGGTACCTGGCGGGCCCTCACCTCAGAGTCTCAGCTCAGATGGGTGAGTGAGTGAGTGTTGGGTAGTCTTTACTTTATGACCTGAGAGATGTATCGGATCACCTGAAGAATACCTTCCCCTCTGCTTGTTAATTTACCTGGTGATTAAACGCCCCATTTCTATACCTGCGGTTACGTTAAGTTAGTTAAGGTTAGGTTACGTTAGAATAGGCTAAGTTTAGTTAGGTTAGGATAGATTAAGTTAGGTTAAGTAAAATAAGCTGGGGTGGGAGTTTATCTTCAGGTGATCCGGTGAATGTAACTTAATTTATAATTATTGAGGACTAATGTATAATATTTACAGACTTATAATACTCTTTAGAAGATCTTAGTTGTTGAGGCACAATGAGACTTTATAACGCCACCACCACCACCACAATCACCACCACCACCACCACAATCACCACCACCAACAACAACAACAACAACAACAACAGCAGCAACAACAAGAATAATGCAAAACGAATGATAAACAAAACAGCAAAAATGAATTAAAAAAAAAGATATATTCCTCACATTCTCAATTATGTGAACTGTATTTAATTTTGTTTTATATCACTGTTGAAGGTCGGGCCAGAGAAGGGGGTCATCCATCTAGCTGTGGCGGCCATCGTAAATGCCCTGTGGGACCTGTGGGCACGTACAGAACACAAGCCTCTCTGGAAGCTACTAGTGGACATGGAACCAGAGAAACTCGTGTCAACTATCGATTTCAGATATATGTGAGTAAACTGTGTAGGTGTTTTTATGTCAACGATAAGTCTCGTTAGTTTATTTCATCTGCTGATTAAATTCTCTAACTTTCGTGGCCGGGGGGTGGGGGGGTGATTCGGTTTGGTTAGCTAAAAATATTAACCACTTACGTTAGCTAAAAGTCATTGCCCTTCACTTAGTTATTTGCACACTGAAAACATTAAGTACTGTATATAAACATCACACACCTGTATCATTTAGTTACCTCTTGGAAAAGTTAAATAATTGTATGGTAAAAAAGAATATAGTTATGAAGAATTTGTTGCCCATATGAGAGAATTGAATCGTATAGAGTGTGAAATTATTATGCCCATATGATTAATACTTACAGCACTGGGTGTATATAAATCAATCATGTTTGTCTGTGAATTGCTAAAAAAAAAGCAATAATCAGTCAGGTTTTTAGAGTGTAATGTGTGTGTGTGTGTGTGTTTGGCAGAGGTGATGTACTGACGAAGGAAGAGGCAGTGACTATGCTGAAGGAGATGCAACACGGAAGGGAGGCCAGGGAGGAGAGGATGTTAACAAGAGGCTACCCTGCTTACACTACTGCTGCAGGTACTGTACTGTGCTGTACTCACTGATCATCATGTGTATATCTGTAATTATCTATGTATCTGTATATCTATGTATCTTATGTGTATATCTATGTATCTTATGTGTATATCTATGTATCTTTATGTGCATAACTATGTATGTAGACCGATCTATATGTGTGTATATCTAACCTAACCTAACCTAACCTAGCCTAACACTGTCACTCTCCACAGGCTGGTTGGGTTACTCACAGGAGAAGATAGAGAGGTTACTGAAGCAGTTCATGGCTCAGGGGTGGAGGCACTTCAAGATCAAGGTGGGACAGGACATAGAGGATGACAAGAGGAGGTGTAAGATCGTCAGGGACATTATAGGACAGGATATGACCTTGGTAAGTGAGGTTAGGTTAGGTTAGGTCACACTAGATAAGATTAGCTTAAGTTAGGTTAAAATTCACTTGTAATAAAACATGCATCGTTAGATTAGATTAGATTACAATGGTGAACAATTCCACTAACTTTTCATTCCTATAGATGGTGGATGCTAATCAGAAATGGGATGTTGACCAGGCCATTAGCTGGATGAAGGAACTGGCGCCTTACAAACCTCTCTGGATTGAGGAGCCCACGAGCCCTGATGATGTCTTGGGTCATGCTAAGATCGCCGAGGTGAGGTCAAAGGTTGTTTTACTGGATTTAAAGTTCAGGTATTCATATTTCATATTAGAGGTCACGTCAAAGTAGAGTTCATGTTAAATATGTTAAGTTCTAAGAGAGGTCATGTCAGGTAAGCCATGTTAATTATGTTAAATTTAAGGTTTAAGAGAGGTCAGGTCAAGTTAGCCATGTTAATTATGTTAAATTTAAGTTTTAAGAGGTCAGGTCAAGTCATCCATGTTAATTATGTTACATTAAAATTCTAAGAGAGTCAGGCCAAATCAGCCATGTTAATTACATTAAATTTAAGGTCTAAGAGAGGTCATATAAAGTCAGAGGTCATGTTTATTATGTTAAATTTAAGGTCAGGCATTCAGCTGTAATGTGACCCTGAAATGTGTGTGATATACCCCTTAAGTCCTGAAATACCTCAAGCTCTTTAAGGACCCTGAAAAATCTCAACAAATAATCTTCCTTTGCTTCCTTCAAAACCCTGATATATATGGAACCCTCCCCCAAAGGACCATAAATATCTTAAACTGACTCTTAGGCCCTGATATACCTGAAACTCTTATTAGGTCCTGAAATATGTCATACTAATCTCCTATCATTTCCTCCTCTTAGGCCCTGAAACCCCTGGGGATCGGTGTGGCTAGCGGGGAGATGTGTCAGAACAGAGTGATCTTCAAGCAGATGTTACAAGCAGGAGCACTGAACTACTGCCAGATCGACGCCTGTAGGGTGGGAGGCGTTAACGAGGTCTTGGCTATCTATCTCATGGCTAAGAAGTTCAACGGTGAGGAAGGAAATGGATAAAATAGAGGGTGGAATAAGAGGGGATGATAAAGATGTGGGGAGGGAAGGAGGGAGGAGACATCAGAGTGAATTAGAGAGAGAGAGAAAGAGAGAGACAGAAGGTAGAGGAGAGTAAAATAATGTAAAAGGGAAGGATTAAAGAGAGAAAGAGAGTGAATGGGAGTGTTGAGATGATGATAATGACAAAGATAATGATGATGATGATGATGATATTAATAATGATGATGATGATAATAATGATGACATTGATGATGATAAAGACATATTGTACGAAACCAATCTCCCTTCGTTCTCAGTACCTGTGTGTCCTCATGCTGGTGGTGTGGGTCTGTGTGAGATGGTTCAACACCTTCAGATATGGGACTACATTAGCGTCTCGGGTACAACAAAAGACCGCATCATCGAGTATGTTGACCATCTTATCGAGCACTTTAAGACCCCCAGGAAGATCAACCATTGTCACTATTTAGCCCCCAAGGTGAGAGTATTGCCATTATTTAGCCCCCAAGGTGAGAGTATTGCCATTATTTAGCCCCCAAGGTGAGAGTATTGCCACTATTTAACCCCCAAGGTGAGAGTATTGCCATTATTTAGCCCCCAAAGTGAGAGTATTGCCACTATTTAGCCCCCAAGGTGAGAGTATTGTCATTATTTAGCCCCCAAGGTGAGAGTACTGCCATTATTTAGCCTCCAAGGTGAGAGTATTGCCACTATTTAGCCTCCAAGGTGAGAGTATTGTCATTATTTAGCCCCCAAGGTGAGAGTACTGCCATTATTTAGCCTCCAAGGTGAGAGTATTGCCACTATTTAGCCTCCAAGGTGAGAGTATTGTCATTATTTAGCCCCCAAGGTGAGAGTACTGCCATTATTTAGCCTCCAAGGTGAGAGTATTGCCACTATTTAGCCTCCATTCGTCGTGTTCAACATTTTACTTATTTTTTTAATATATCCTAAGCTCTCATAGCTGGCAGTCTTACCATCCATTATTTACTGTGATTTAAACCCGTTCTTAGAGACAGAAGCAGAAGAAGAGAGATTTTTAATTCTCTGTCAAGATATAATATGTCTGTCACTCTCTGTCTCTGTCTATCTGCCTCTGTCTCTTCTCTGTCTGTTTCTCTCTCTGTCTGTATGTCTCTATCTCTCTCTCTTTCATATTTCTCATTAATTTATCTCCCTCGGTGCTGCTGCAGGTCCCCGGGTACAGCGTAGAGATGTGGGAGAAGAGCTTACTGGACTACGAGTTCCCTTACGGCGCCAAGTGGAACGCCCTGTTTGACGAGGGGCGATACAAGGACCCCCGCAAAGGTCCTCCCCCATGGGTAGAACATCGCGTCAAGGGGGACATTATTCATCGCTAGACCTATCAATGGGACATCAACCACCACTACTAGATATTTTAAGGACACATTAAGTACATCTGCATCCAGTAATCAACACACGAGAGGAAGATGAAACATAGGAAGAGTTTTTTTAAGGGGGGGGGAGGGGTTGGGGGGAATAACCTAACCTAACCTAATCTAACCTAACCTAACCTAACCTAACCTAACCTAACCTAACCTAACCTAACCTAACCTAACCTAACCTAATCTAACCTAACCTAACCTAACCTAACCTAACCTAACCTAACCTAACCTAACCTAACCTAACCTAACCTAATCTAACCTAACCTAACCATAGTGCTCAATTAATCTTCCATATACAGTACTTTTTTATCCCACACTCCACCTGTAATTACTGTTATCCTACCTGTAATACTGTTATCCTACCTGTAATACTGTTATCCTACCTGTATTACTGTTATCATACCTGTATTACTGTTATCGTACCTGTAATACTGTTATCATACCTGTATTACTGTTATCCTACCTGTAATACTGTTATCATACCTGTATTACTGTTATCCTACCTGTAATACTGTTATCCTACCTGTATTACTGTTATCATACCTGTAATACTGTTATCCTACCTGTATTACTGTTATCGTACCTGTAATACTGTTATCCTACCTGTATTACTGTTATCCTACCTGTATTACTGTTATCCTACCTGTATTACTGTTATCATACCTGTATTACTGTTATCCTACCTGTAATACTGTTATCATACCTGTAACACTGTTATCATACCTATATTACTGTTATCCTACCTGTATTACTGTTATCCTACCTGTAATACTGTTATCATCCACCTGTATTACTGTTATCCTACCTGCATATTACTGTTATCCTACCTGTAATACTGTTATCCCCTACCTGTATTACTGTTATCCTACCTGTAATACTGTTATCATACCTGTAATACTGTTATCATACCTGTACTGTTATCCTACCTGTAATACTGTTATCCTACCTGTAATACTGTTATCCTACCTGTATTACTGTTATCCTACCTGTATTACTGTTATCATACCTGTAATACTGTTATCATACCTGTATTACTGTTATCCTACCTGTATTACTGTTATCATACCTGTATTACTGTTATCCTACCTGTATTACTGTTATCCTACCTGTATTACTGTTATCCTACCTGTAATACTGTTATCCTACCTGTATTACTGTTATCCTACCTGTAATACTGTTATCCTACCTGTATTACTGTTATCCTACCGGTAATACTGTTATCCTACCTGTATTACTGCTATCCTACCTGTATTACTGTTATCCTACCTGTAATACTGTTATCCTACCTGTATTACTGTTATCCTACCTGTATTACTGTTATCCTACCTGTATTACTGTTATCTGTACTGTTATCCTACCTGTAATCCTGTTATCCTACCTGTAATGCACATTTATCCTACTATAGCAATACTGTTACGCAGCATTACTGTTTATCCTACCTGTATTACTGTTATCCTACCTGTATTACTGTTATCATACCTGTATTACTGTTATCACCTGTAATACTGTTATCATGCTGCCATATTACTGGTATCCTACCTGTATTACTGTTATCCTACCTGTAATACTGTTATCCTACCTGTATTACTGTTATCCTACCTGTAATACTGTTATCATACCTGTAATACTGTTATCATACCTGTATTACTGTTATCCTACCTGTATTACTGTTATCCTACCTGTATTACTGTTATCATACCTGTATTACTGTTATCCTACCTGTAATACTGTTATCATACCTGTATTACTGTTATCCTACCTGTATTACTGTTATCCTACCTGTATTACTGTTATCATACCTGTATTACTGTTATCATACCTGTAATACTGTTATCCTACCTGTAATACTGTTATCCTACCTGTAATACTGTTATCCTACCTGTAATACTGTTATCCTACCTGTAATACTGTTATCCTACCTGTATTACTGCTATCCTACCTGTAATACTGTTATCCTACCTTGTAATACTGTTATCCTACCTGTATTACTGTTATCCTACCTGTAATACTGTTATCCCTGCACCTTAATACTGTTATCCTACCTGTATTACTGTTATCCTACCTGTATTACTGTTATCCTACCTGTAATACTGTTATCCTACTACCTGTGTATTACTGTTATCCTACCTGTATTACTGTTTATCATACCTGTATTACTGTTATCCTACCTGTATTACTGTTATCCTGCCTGTATTGCTGTTATCTACCTGTATTACTGTTTATCCTACCTGTAATACTGTTATCCTACCTGTATTACTGTTATCATACCTGTATTACTGTTATCCTACCTGTAATACTGTTATCCTACCTGTATTACTGTTATCATACCTGTATTACTGTTATCCTACCTGTAATACTGTTATCCTACCTGTAATACTGTTATCCTACCTGTAATACTGTTATCATACCTGTAATACTGTTATCATACCTGTATTACTGTTATCCTACCTGTAATACTGTTATCCTACCTGTATTACTGTTATCATACCTGTATTACTGTTATCCTACCTGTAATACTGTTATCCTACCTGTATTACTGTTATCATACCTGTATTACTGTTATCCTACCTGTATTACTGTTATCCTACCTGTATTACTGTTATCCTACCTGTAATACTGTTATCCTACCTGTATTACTGTTATCCTACCTGTATTACTGTTATCATACCTGTATTACTGTTATCATACCTGTATTACTGTTATCATACCTGTATTACTGTTATCCTACCTGTAATACTGTTATCCTACCTGTATTACTGTTATCATACCTGTATTACTGTTATCCTACCTGTATTACTGTTATCCTACCTGTATTACTGTTATCCTACCTGTAATACTGTTATCCTACCTGTATTACTGTTATCCTACCTGTAATACTGTTATCATACCTGTATTACTGTTATCATACCTGTATTACTGTTATCATACCTGTATTACTGTTATCCTACCTGTATTACTGTTATCATACCTGTAATACTGTTATCCTACCTGTATTACTGTTATCATACCTGTATTACTGTTATCCTACCTGTATTACTGTTATCATACCTGTAATACTGTTATCATACCTGTATTACTGTTATCATACCTGTATTACTGTTATCCTACCTGTATTACTGTTATCATACCTGTATTACTGTTATCATACCTGTATTACTGTTATCATACCTGTATTACTGTTATCCTACCTGTATTACTGTTATCATACCTGTAATACTGTTATCCTACCTGTAATACTGTTATCCTACCTGTATACTGTTATCCTACCTGTATTACTGTTATCATACCTGTATTACTGTTATCATACCTGTATTACTGTTATCATACCTGTATTACTGTTATCCTACCTGTATTACTGTTATCATACCTGTAATACTGTTATCCTACCTGTATTACTGTTATCATACCTGTATTACTGTTATCCTACCTGTATTACTGTTATCCTACCTGTAATACTGTTATCATACCTGTATTACTGTTATCATACCTGTATTACTGTTATCCTACCTGTATTACTGTTATCATACCTGTATTACTGTTATCATACCTGTATTACTGTTATCATACCTGTATTACTGTTATCCTACCTGTATTACTGTTATCATACCTGTAATACTGTTATCCTACCTGTAATACTGTTATCCTACCTGTAATACTGTTATCCTACCTGTATTACTGTTATCCTACCTGTATTACTGTTATCCTACCTGTATTACTGTTATCCTACCTGTATTACTGTTATCCTACCTGTAATACTGTTATCATACCTGTATTACTGTTATCATACCTGTATTACTGTTATCCTACCTGTATTACTGTTATCCTACCTGTATTACTGTTATCTACCTGTATTACTGTTATCATACCTGTAATACACTGTTATCCTACCTGTATTACTGTTATTATACACTGTAATACTGTTATCCTACCTGTATTACTGTTATCACTACCTGTATTGCTGTTATCCTACCTGTATTACTGTTATCCTACCTGTATTACTGTTATCCTGCCTGTATTACTGTTATTATACCTGTAATACTGTTATCCTACCTGTTACTGTTATCATACCTGTAATACTGTTATCCTACCTGTATTACTGTTATCATACCTGTAATACTGTTATCATACCTGTAATACTGTTATCCTACCTGTATTACTGTTATCATACCTGTAATACTGTTATCATACCTGTATTACTGTTATCATACCTGTAATACTGTTATCATACCTGTAATACTGTTATCCTACCTGTATTACTGTTATCATACCTGTAATACTGTTATCATACCTGTAATACTGTTATCATACCTGTAATACTGTTATCATACCTGTATTACTGTTATCCTACCTGTATTGCTGTTATCCTACCTGTAATACTGTTATCCTACCTGTAATACTGTTATCCTACCTGTAATACTGTTATCCTACCTGTAATACTGTTATCCTACCTGTATTACTGTTATCCTACCTGTATTACTGTTATCCTACCTGTATTACTGTTATCATACCTGTACACAGCAGCTCTACCATATGTAAAGAGGTTTGTTTGCTTATGGAGTCGTGGCTGAGATGAAAGCAGGTTAATTGTAACAACAATAGGTAATAGTGTCAACACCACAGGCAAACAGGTGTTGTGTTAGGCAAGTGTTGTATTGGGCAGGTGTTGTGTTAAGCAGGTGTTGTGTTGGACAGGTGTTGTGTTAAGCAGGTGTTTCTAATTAAGATATTGTGGGACCAGATGTTATTAAGTACCTTGGAGGTTATCTGTCGTGTTGTATTTCCCCAGGTGTGTCACGCTTACCGGAGGAGATTACCTATGAACACAGAAACTTGATGAAGGAGAGAGAGAGAGGAAACATATGATAACAGAGAGAAGTGTAAAGATAATAGAGATTGTTAAAGGACACACACACACACACACACACACACACACACACACACACACACACACACACACACACACACACATTTTGCTTGTAATATAAAGATAG